CTTGGTGTTCGTCTTCTGTTTTACTTATTTTGTACTTTGCATCTGTTGTATTAAAGTTGTCTTACATTGAGAAATTAGATACTTACAGGTACTTTGGTGTCGAACTTTGTCTCACAAGTTGACTATTTGCAAAGAGGAATTCAGCTTCTCACAGTTAAATTACCTTTACAATTTTTGTTCTAACTATTAGCAAAAGTGTCTCAATAGCTGAGATAAAAAGTTTCACTCTATTTTTGTTAGTCGTAGAAGGGACATGGCGCACTACGTCTTTTAAATATCTCTGAGTAGTGCCCACAAACAAAACAATTTTCAGAAAAACAAATACTAACAGTTGGATGTCAAAACTCGTTGTCTCCCAATAAAATGCATAGAAATGACCACAATTTCATACGTTTTCAAAGAGGAATTGCGTTTGGCACAGTTAAATTGCCTTGAAAGAAGCAGGTGAAAAATCCACATGAATTATGAAAGATGATCGGTCCGGCTCCAGCTCTTTATTTTTGGCTGAGCGCTGATATAGGTAAATTAAAAGCTCGAAAACAGCGAAAAGGCCAATTTTGAAATTCCTTCCCATCTTACCCAACCTTAGGTAATTCTATATCCGCCACCCTTGATGGTATTTCAAATAGGTTTCTTTTTATTCACGATCATGTATTTGTTTTTGCATCACTGGTGGTGCGCGTTTTGAATGGGGCAATAACACAGCATAATTGTCCGAAAAGAGAAAAAAAGAAAATAAAAATTTCAAGAAACTCAGTCTTAGAAACACTGAAATAGAATTTTCAATGCATACAAAATTAATAAGATACATTGCAGCTGAAATATAAAACTAAAGGTGCTTAGGGGAAATATTCTTCCTTTCTTTCCCTTTAAGTATTCAAATTTCTTTTTTCCAATTGTAGAGACCAAGAAAAGCAAATCTCTAGTTATCAGTTATCGGAATACATGTACCCAAAAGCTTATTGCCGTAAATGAACAACCGTAAAGGGTAATATACAGACACCTCTCAGCTGTTTTGTAAACACGACTTGAAATAAATTATTTGGCCTTAAATTGTCCATCCTTTGATTGAGATCGCGAGGGTAGCGCTTTTCAAAAAATAATGTCAGGTGGAAAGTAAACAGACTTGGTCGGTCTTTAATCACCAGAGTGGCGGCGTATCGAAGTTGAATAATTTTTCACTTTACCCAAATAAAGAGAAGATGAACATGTTTTAATCCTTATTAGAAATTACCTACCGCCCTCTATGAGGAAGTTAATTGAGGCACGAAGGATGCCCAAGAAATAAAAACAAGAAAAAGCTAGCAAAAAGGAGAAGCACCAGTTGAGAACGATTTCCAAGAACGTTTCACGACGAATATGATTATATAAAAGCGATCACCCACTGAAAGAATTGAAGAAAAAATAATAGAACCCTGCCAACGCAAAATCCCAAGAAAAGCGAAAAATTTTTCGAGTTTACGAGGGTTCGGGTTGAAGAGGATGATGTTGATTTTCAATAATTAACAAGGAATCTCCTTTGTTTTTATTATTACACATTAAACAGTCATTTTCGTGAATTTAGTTTGTTGTATTAGAGCTTTTTGTAAAGGGAAATCTGCGTGGAGTGAACTTACAAAGCTCATTGATAAATCAAACATAAAATTCACGAGAATGAAGCAAGTGATATCCGAACTTTATTATAATCAAAGGCTCTGTGAGCCAACTCGTGTGAATGGATAAGCCAGTGTAATTTGTGTCGTCAATAGAAATGGGCGTTTGATTTCCATTCTAGGGTATAAATCGTTAGACTCGTAAATTAACATTTTGAGGAATATGATGTGAGATTAAATTAGGCCTCAAAGGCAGAAAATATGGCCTGATTAGGATTTAGTGTAAGACAATCCCTGTTCCATATTTTGCTGTAAAGGTTTGTGGAAAGAAAGTTCAAAAGGGTGCTGTTTTGTTTGTCATAAAACTATCAGCAAGTTACTTTTAAGAAATAAACTGATACCTCTAGGATCTTATTACCTATGTTGTGTAGACACACCAGTGACTTGGAAAATTTTAACTCAATGATGACGAAGTATGCACCCAAGAGAAATGCATTTGAGTAAGTAATGTGATGTAATGAACACATTATGGGCGTTGGGTGGTTTACTAGGACCAGCCACTTCATGCTCGTTTTGCTATTGGTCATTTGCTCACTAACAAGAACACTGTTAATGTTCAGTTGAACTTGTTAAATAATCTAATTCATGATAAATTGTTGTGAATTTATTATTGCAGTTTGTTGCACTTGGCAATTTCTATTTGACCGATAAAATGTAAAGTGAACTCTTACAGTGTTCTTACAATCAGCCTTTAGTAAGACAAGTTGATTCCAAGATTTGTCCCAATCAGAATTATTCATTCAGTTGATATTGAATGAAGACCTTTTCCTAAATCAATGCAAGGAATTGGACTAATTAAGTTACACTTCAGTTACGGATTTCTCCTTAATTACTGTGTATAGATAGGTTTGGCATGGACTTGTGGCTTATGATTTTCAGAGGTTAATAAAACAGAAAGACAAGTCTAAGAATAAGAAAAGTCTAAGAGGCTTTTGTTGCATAGTTCTAAATAATATCTACGTAACTTGTTGTCAAATAATTATCATTTCATTCATTTTTCCTATTTATTTTAATTGGTTAGGTACCTAGCTTTTGTGGCAAGGGTTACTTTGGCTGCTATTGACCACAATATGCAAGTGTTTAGACCTCATGCAACGACAAGGGGTGGGAGCTTCAAGTATGCACGCAAGTACAGCAAACGCACCAAAAAATGGCATGCAGAACCTGTCAAAGTGCTAAAAGAATACAAGTATTGGCCATTTCTTCTCGCACAAATGTTGCGGTGCAGACATGGTGACAACAAATCCGTGCAGCGGGTTTTACAACGTCCAAGCTTTCACCCGAAGAATTTAGCGCCGATCATTGCCATAAAGCAACCACAGAGACAGCCGAAATTGTGAAGTTTCGGCTGGCCAGATACGGATTAAAAAAAAAAGTCTCCTTATGCCTAAGTGAATTTGACTTAGCAAAATGAATGCCCCTAGGGATGTTAGTGATCTGAGAACAAACAAAAAAGTAGATACACTGAATTTTATGTGTTACAACAAATTACTTTTGGTTGCATCCATGATCAAAAAAAGTTGTTGCTTCTTTACCAATCCTCCCCCATATAGTAAGCCCCAAATAAAATCTTAGAACTATAACCGAAAAAAATCTATTGCCCTCAAATTTATATTCTTTCCTTTGAAAAATAACAATACAAGTTAACAAGGTATATGGATGTAGAAAAAATGGGGTAGGGATAAAGGGATGATGCCCAGTCCCAGACATAGTCTACATAGCCCTGAACCCCATGTAATTGCCATCAGCAGATGGATAAACAGATCTTATCATGTGCACACAAAATGAAGGACAAACTCGCCTATTCCCCTTTCCCAGCCTACCATATCGCCATAAAATGAACTGACGATATGCCGCCTTTCTAAAGCTGTTACTACTAAAATTAATGTCATCTGCACGCATGTGACATCTAGCTTTTATAGCTACTTCGAGCACATTTCTGTCAACGGACTGGTGAGGAGCCGTCGCTGGTGCCTACGCTGTTACTGGCGGTGTTACGTCCTGCTTTTGATCCTGAGCTGAATCTGTTTCAGCTGATACACTTTCGTGGGCATCAGGTGGTACTTGGGGTTGTCCGGAAATATCCGACCTGACCGGAATAGCCCATGGAACCTCCAAGGACTGGTCCTGATACTCTCTCTCTCCACCTGGTTCTGATGCTGATCTGCCCATGCCGTCCCGTCTCACGTGATCGACGTGACGTTTCCACACTCTGCCGTCATTTAATACTACTCTGTATGACTTGAGTCCACTTCGCTCAGCTATCGAGCCTTGCCACCAGGTGTCCTCTTTTCTGAGGTCTTTCGCTAAAACTCTGTCCCTGGGGTAAAATTCTCTGAACTTGGCATATTTGTCGTGCGTGGCCTTCTGCTTTGCTTGGGAATCCACGACCTTCTCTTCTAAGTTTGGGCGGAGGAGAGTTGGCCGCGTTCGTAGTTCGCGACTCAGGAACAGGCTAGTGGGTGTTCTGCCAGTCGTGGGGTGTCTTAATGACCGATAGGATAAGAGGAAGTTCGTAATACGTTGCTGAATGGAAAGTTTGCTGCCCTTGTAAGCCTTCAGGTGGTTCTTGAACGATTGCACCATACGCTCCGCTAACCCATTGCTCGCTGCGTGATAAGGTGCTACCCGTACGCGTTTAACACTGTTCATTTTTAAGAAATGAGCAAATTCTTCACTGAGAAAGTGCGGCCCGTTATCGCTTACGCAGTGAATTGGTATTCCGTATCTGGCAAATAGTTCCTGTAATATCGCGATCGTCGCTGTTGCTCTCGTGTTTTGTGGCATGTAGAAAATCTCGGGCCAACGAGAATGCGCGTCAAGAGCAATGAGATAATGTTTCTTTTCGTACTCAGCAAAGTCAATGTGAATACGGTGCCTGGGGTTGCTAGGCCACAACCGTGGCGCAAGTGGAGCTACAGTGGATGATTTCCGAACCCGCTGGCAACTACCACAGCTTCTCACCGTCTGCTTAATTTCCAAATCAATGTTAGGCCACCATATATAGGTACGAGCTAACTCTTTCATACGGACGATGCACGGGTGCTCTGTATGTAATTCCTCCAACATATCATTCTGGTACCGTGTAGGAATGATAACCCGTACTCCCCACAGCAAACAATCCTGCTAGATAGACAATTCGAAACGACGATTGAAGAAAGGTTTTAGGCGCAAGTCGTCAGTGTGCTGAGGCCAACCATGTCTCACGAGTCCCAGCACCTTAGTCAGCACAGGGTCTACTGCGTGTTCGCCTCCTGCTGTTGACGACAAAGGTAGGCGTGATAAGGCGTCGGCGACCGCATTCTGTTTGGATGGAACAAATCTAATGTCGTAATTAAAAGCTGTGAG